AAATGAATGGGTAGGTGAGTAAGTGGGTGGGAAAAGAAGGAATGAAGAGATAAGTGAAACAATAAAACAAATGAACAACTAGTAAGTGGTCAAGTCATAAGCTGAACTAGCTCATTTACTCCTCACCCTGTTCTTTCTTCTGTTTTGCCAAAGCCTCTAAAGAATTAAGTAACACAGAAAAAAAACAAATAACTTATTCAAAGCATTGAAAGGGTAACCAGAATAATCTACTAATACTAGTATTAGTACTCCAAATAAATTCTTTTTAATTTCTCTCAAAATATACTTTCCAGGCAATCCACACTGACACAATGGTTAACACAATTCTCAATACTGAGACGTTTGTGACCCCAGGACTCCCTGTATATATAAGTGTGCTCATGATCCCAGTCAGCTGACGCTGGAGGTGCTTCAGGCATGAGTACCCTTTCGGGGTTATGTCTCTCCCTATGTCTGTTTCCCTCCCTCATGGAAGAAATAAACTTCAAAAATATACAAATAAGCCAGATCTTTTCTACCAACCAAGTTACAATTAAAGCTGTAATACCAGCCTTGGCCAGATAAGTCCTATCAGTTTAATTGCTATAATTTTCTTAGTTCATTTTGTCTTAGAAGTATGGGATATATCTGGCAATTACTAGTGTAAGTTTTTCCTACCCTTAATATATGCAGCAATTTTTTTTTCCTTAGCTTTTGCCATAAGGTTCATGCACTTGCCAGGAAGGATGGCCACATATGCACGAGTCCAGCATGATTTTTCAAGCAGCTAAATCTGGGTCTCAAACCACAAATCAGTCATGTGGTAATCAAGGCTTTAAACACCATGCCACCTGCTGACACACTGCCTTTTTATTTTCTGTTAAAGGTTTTTGACGTAAGGTGAATGCTATCACCAGAGAGAAAGAAAGAGCAAGACAGAGGGAAAGTATCAAGGAAAACCAGCCACACTGCAATCCATTCTCCTACTGGGATTTGGGCACACAAGCCCAGTGTGACTTTCAAGCCACCAGGTTCAGCACTAGAAGCCTACCATTCACCACGATAGGCTTTGTGGTCATTCAGAACCTTAACTTATAGACCTACAAAATTTTTAGACTAGGGGGCCAGCAGATGGCATGGTGGTAACATCATTGCACTCCCACATGGCTGACCACAGTTCAAGCCCAGGACACAGTGGCTTCAAACTCATACAAGGCGCATATGCATGGGTGCCCAAGATCCTGGGAGGAAAAATGGAGAAGTTGTGGCATAGCCAAGCCCCCAGGGGACGATTTCTCACTTTCCCTCTCAGTGTCTATCTCCAGTGAAAGCATGTATTCTATGGCAAAAACTTCTCCAAAAAAAAAAAAAGTTTACAGACTTCAGAAAAATTACAAAAATAGTAGAGTTCCTATATACTTCATCCAGCTTTCCCTAAAATTAACATCTTATATAACCATGGCACAATTATAAAAACCAGAAATGAACACTGGCACAATATAATTGACTACAAACTGTACACAAATTTCACCAGAATCCCACACTGCAAGTAGCCAACCCCGTGTCCTGGACCCAGAAGTCTGAAAAACACACTGGGCTCATGTACATACATATCTCAAATTCTGACAGAATAGAAAAATGGAGAAGGGATTCTGGCATGATTTGGTCCCAATTAAGAGGGTGGCTTTTACCCTCTCTCTCTTTCTCTCTCTAATGAGTATATATTGACTGTTAGCAAATTTGAAAAAAAAAAAAAAGTATATACCCAAAGTTAATTTCAGAGCTGTTGGCCCATACCTCTAATAAGATTACAGGTTGATAAATGTTTATCACAATCTTATGACATCTAGTCAAGATACTGTTTTCTCAAGTTAAGCTTCTTATTTTCTCCTCTACCCCTTTCCAATGTTACAGTAATTCATCTGTACTACAATTAGTTTCTTTTGTGACATTTCTGTATTCAATTTTAGGTAATGCTCATGTTCTGTTTGGTTTTAGCTGTTAATTTTGAAAAGTACATGAAGGTTAGGATACTACTTCAAAAAGCCTGTCAAGTCTAAATATAAGAGAAGAAAGTCGGATTCAGGTAAGGCTTTATGTAACAAAGGAGGATTCCTTCTTTTTTTTTTTTTTTGAGAGGTTTTTGCTATAGGGCGCATCGCTCGCCAGACAGAGAGAGACATAGAGACAGAAAGCGAGAAATCACGCCCCAGGGGGGATGGCCACGCCGCAATCCCTTCTCCTCCATTCTCCTCTCAGGATCTTGGGCACGCACACACACACACCCGGCATGAGTTTAAGCCACCGGGTCCGGGACTCGAACCGCAGTCGACTACGTGGGAGTCCAGTGACACAGCCATTACACAAACTGCTGGTCCCAAGGAGGTTTCCTTTTTTTAAAAAAAAAAAAGCTGAAGCAGGGGCCAGCAAAATGGCCTAGTGATTACATAACTGAATTTCACATGGCTGACCACAGTTTGAGTCCTGGGCCCAGTGGGTTGAAAAATCATGCCAGTACATAAGCATGCATGCCCCTAAGATCTCAGAAGGAGAATGTAAAAGAAAGGATTGTGGCATGGTCATCCCCTCTGGAGGGTGATTTCTCATGTTTCCTCTTACTGTCTCTGTGTCTGTCTCTCTCCCCCTCTCTCTCTGTCTCTCTCCCCACAAGCCAAGTATGTGCCCCATAACAAAAACCTCTAAAAATAAATAAATAAAATTAAAAACAAAAGCAATAGTGATCTGAATATGTTTATATAAAAAGAAGAAAAAAGAAAGAAGTTGAAAAATGGTCTCTAAGACAAAACAGTTCAAGTGGGACGTTATGTAAAACGGTGGTTCTCAAATTTTTGCATACCTCCATCATCTGGACAATTCCAAGTGGACAGGACCCACCACTAGTTTCTAATCCTGTAATTCTGGAAAGTACTGAGACTTTGCATTGCTAACAATTCTCCAGGTGAGAATAATGGCACTTTTATTTTAAATTATTATTTATATTATTATTATTGTTTCATTTGCTATAGTGCACATGCATTCACCAGAAAGAGGCAGACAGAGAGAGAGAGAGAATGAAAGTGAGAAAGCAAGCCACCAGGTCTGGGACCCAAACCATGGTCAGCCATGTGGGAGTCCAGTACCTTAATCACTGTGCCACCTGCCAGCCCCAACTGACACTTATTTTATACAGGGACTATAATTTGAGGACTTGAATAGAGTAAAATGAAAGTAGTTCCAAAATAGAAATATACATTGGCATTATAGGGAACCAGCAGTTAGCGTAATGGCTATGTTGCTGGACTCCCACGTAGTCGACCGCGGTTCGTGTCCCAGACCCGGTGGCTTAAAACTCACGCCGGGCGCGTGTGCGTGCGTGCCCAAGATCCCAAGAGGAGAATGGAAGAGAAGGGATTGTGGCGTGACCATCCCCCCTGGGGGGTGATTTCTCGCTTTCTGTCTCTATGTCTCTCTCTGTCTGTCTGGTGAGCGCACGCGCCCTACAGTGAAAATCTCTCCAAAAAAAAAAAAAAGACTCACTCATAGGTTTTCACTTTCTTCTTTACTTTTGTTTTTTTAATTTTGCCAGAGGGCATGTAAGCTTGCCCAACTAGAGAGAAAAAGAGAGACAGAGAGAAAGCACCCACAATAAGGAATGGTCATGCCACAGTCCCTTTTCTTCCATTTCTCCTTTCATGATTTGGGCACACACATGCATGCATATACAAACATGGAGTGTTTTTTTTTTCCAAGCACCAGGTCTAGGACTCAGACTGTGCAGTTGGCCATAGGGATCCAACTGCCTTAACCACCAGGCTGCCCCTTCTTTACTTTTTCTTTCCCATTAACACCTTATGTTTATCACAAGCACTTACTACTTTTATAGCATGTTCAAAATCAAAATTTAAGTACATTTCATCTATCATAGCTTTTGTTAATAACATTTCCAAGAATTATGATTTTTAAAACTTTAAAAGGAACATTTATCTTATTATACTTCACAATAAATATTACAGGCACAAAGAAAGCCGTTAACTTTTGTTCATACATCTTATAACAACCACTACCCTAAACTTCCTTCCTTAAATCTTTAAAAATTTTTAAAGTTAATCATAAGAGTTGTCTAATTATGGGACCAGCAGGTGGCATGGTTAAGGTGCTGATACTCCCATATAGCCAAACCATGGTTCAAGTCCCGGACATGGCAGCTTGTTTTCTCACTCCCCCACCCCCAGTCAAATTAAAATAAATGAATAAATAGATAAAATTAAATAATTCTTTAAAAACAATGTTGTCTAATTATGTACTGAGATTTTAAATGCCTATACATCATAAAGTACACTTCCACATCTTTTTTTTTCCTTTTGAGAAGTTTTTGCTACAGGGCATGTGTAATAGCCAGACAAAGAGAGAAACAGAGACAGAAAGTGAGAAATCACCCCCAGGGAGATGGCCACAGCACAATCCCTTCTTCGCCACTCTCCTCTCAGGAATTTGGGCACACATGCACAAGCATCTGGTTTGAGTTTTAAGTTGTCGGGTCTGGAACTTAAACTGTGGTTGACAACATGGATGTCCAATGACATAACCATAATGCCATCTGCTGGTCTCTCACATATTTATTTAAGGAAAGTTACCAGAAGCACGAAGAACCATAAAGATATTCACAATAATAGTATTATACACACGAAACAAAAAGCTAAGAAAAATTCAAACATATCTGTATTGGAAAAATATTAATAGACTGGTAACCTACAGTGCATTCTTACAATAAATTACACATAACAAAGTCTATACCCTTTTTAATTCAGGTAAATGCAATCAAAGTGCTGTATGTATTAAATAATCCTAAGAATAACAATTATAATAGACTGTAGAATAATTTCCTCTGTGTGGTCAAAAGAGCAACTTTCTTACTTTTTCTCTTCTTTCCAACTCCAACAACGTGTCTGTAATGGGTGTTAGGAAGTTTTATTAAGATTACACACAAGGAGATATTTTATATTATGAAGATTTTTTTTTACCTCAGCTGTATTTGTTTCCGTTTTTGTAGCTCTTGGTTTCTCAGTTCTTCTAAGCGTCTGAGTTCTTCTTGACGCCTCATTAAATCTATAAAAGATTACAAATTAAATTTTTACTTTCTCTTTATTTTTATGTGAGAATAAAAATAAGCTGGGATTCTTTATTATTGGCAATATATGTTAACTCATTCGTAGTCATGCACCTAAATTTTTTTTTCCTATTAATCATTTCTTTTGTATTTATTTTAATTTGTTACAGTGCATGTAAAGTGAGCTCCCTGGGAGAGACAGAGTAAAAACCACCCCGCGTGGGACTAGCAGTTAGCAAAATGGCTATGTCGCTGGACTCCCACATAGTCGACCATGGTTCGAGTCCCAGACCCAGTGGCTTAAACTCATACCGGGCGCATGGGCCCAAGATCCTGAGAGGAGAATGGAGGAGAAGGGATTGCGGCGTGGCCATCCCCCCTGGGGGGTGATTTCTCGCTTTCTGTCTCTCTCTGTCTGTCTGGCGAGCGCACGTGCCCTATAGCAAAAACCTCTCCAAAAAAAGCAAAAAAAAAAAAAAAAAAAACACCCCGCAAGGGAAAAGATCATTCTATAATCCTTTGTCCTCCATTATCCTCTTGGGACTTTTGGGCAAGTATACCCACACACCCAGTGTGGTTTTCAAGCTGCTGGTACAGGACTCAAACCACAGTCAGCTACATGAGACCCAGCTGCTCAACTCCATACCATGTCACTGTCTATCAAACGTTTTGTAATGAGTGATTATAACCTGTATAATTAATCAAATTAATATCCTTTCTGAGTATGTTTCCTTATGTGTATAAATAGTAATAAAATCATCTAAGAATTTAAAAATTAGAGTAACTATTTTATAACAAAATATCTAGTACATACAACAAAGAAAACAAATTATCACAATACTAAGTCATTTTCATGTACAACTTTGATTTTTTTTTTTTTAAGAGATTTTTGCTATCAGGCATATTTGCTCACTGGTGAGACAGAAAGACAGAAAGCGAGAAATCACCCTGGGGGTGGGGGAAACGACCACACACCACAATCCCTTCTCCTCCATTCTCCTCTCGGGATTTTGGGCATGCGTGACACGCGTCCATCATGAGATTTAAGCAACTAGGTCCAGGACTCAAACTGTGGTCAACTATATGAGAGCCCAGCAATGTAACCAATTACTCCATCTGCTGGTCCCCATGTACAACTTTTAAACAAATTACAATCATTTACAGCAAGAAATACAAAATGTTAAAAAGATGCCTTAGGAGATATAAGCAGAAGGCACTTAAGAATCAAACCAAACAGGGACCAGCAGCTAGTGTAATAGCTATGTCGCTGGACTCCATGTTGTCGACCGTGGTTCACTTCCCAGACCCGGTGGCTTAAAACTCACGCTGGGCGAGTGTGCGCCCAAGATCCCGAGAGGAGAATGGAGGAGAAGGGATTGCGGCATGGCCATCCCCACTAGGGGGTGATTTCTTGCTTTCTGTCTCTCTCTCTCTCTCTGGCAAGCGCATGTGCCCTATAGCAAAAACCTCTCCAAAAAAAGAAAAAAAAAATCAAACCAAACAGTAAAAATAGTGAGCATGTTTTTTATTTTTACTGTTTTGGTGCATGTCTTGAAAGAATTAGCCTAAGATTACTCCTTCACTAAGTCAATCTATTAAGAGCAGGGAGAAAAGACTTCTTGATAGAGAAAGAAAGGCTTAATATACTGAATTATTTTAAAGCAAAAAGCAACCATTCCCACAATCTGAGCTAATTTAGAACAGTTTTCCTTCCCATTTTACAGATTAAACCAGACTGAGACCCAGCTGCTATGGCACAGGCAATAGGGAACTGCTGCACAATCTGGAGCAGTAAGGGAAGGCCCGAAGTTTAGATCACAGTGTGACAAGACACTGGCACAGGTACCTGTCTCTATCTTTCCTGAAGAAAAACAATAGGTTGTTGGGAAAGTCATTACGTATTTTTCTATGTAAAAATGTGTCATGATTCTTTGAACAACTCAATAAACAAACTTGGTTTGGGACACTACCCAGAATACTGTGTACTGGTATACTAGGCAAGGACCAGGTTTTGTTTTTTCATTTAAATTCATACTTTAATTCTGTTTTCCCACAAAAATTCCAGGTGATTATGATAACATGCAGTACAGAAAACACTAAACATGACTAGAATGACTTCAAACCTTTGTAACATTAGCTCTCAACTACCTCTTAACTGCTCACCAGAAATAAGTACCTCTAACCTCAGACCAAGTAAATCAAAATCCCTTAGGATATTAACCAAACATCCATATTTATTTTTAAAGCTCCCCTAGTGCCTCCATTGGGCAACCAACATTAAGAACCTTACAACTTACTCGTTAGCCCACGGCCTGGTGGTTAAGGGAGCTGGATCTCACATGATGAGCATGCAAATCTAGTCCTGGTACTAGCTTAAAGAACATGCCAGGTACCTGTGCATGTGTGCCCAAAATTCCAAAAGGAGGAAAGATGGAAAAGATAGGATTGTTGTATAACTATTCCCCATGGGGAGAGAGCTCTCTCCTACTCTCTTGCTCTCTAGTGAGTACACACAAATTATGGCAAATTAAAAAATAAATAAATCATACAACTTTCATAATAGAGAGCAAAATAATATACATTTGCATTCCTACGAGAAAATGATGAACAACAAGCTGAAATATAGGAAGTGTCCCACTATAAAAACCCACGAATATCCCCCCGGGGGGTGATTTCTCGCTTTCTGTCTCTATGTCTCTCTCTGTCTGGCGAACACATGCGCCCTATAGCGAAAACCTCTAAAAAAAAAAAAAAAAACACAACATCAACCTAATAGATCCAATAATAATTTTTGTTTTTCATATCAGAAGGTTGGGAACAACAGATGTTGTAGTACTCAGGGCGTTGGACTCCCACATGACTGACTATGGTTTGAGTCCTAAACCTGGCAGCTTGCTTTCTCACTCTTCCTTTCTTACCCATTCTCTCTGGTGAAATAATAATAACGATAAATAAAATATATAAATAATTCTTAAAAAATAAATTGTTGGGGCCAGCAGGTGGCATGATGGTTAAGGTGCTAGACCCCAACATGGCTGACCATGGTTCAAGTTCCTGCCAGACCTAGCAGCTTGCTTTCTCACTTTGCCTTTTTCTCTGTCGCTGCCTGGACTAATAAAAATAACAACAACAAATGGAATAAAATAAATAAATAAATATTTTACAGAAAATTGCCAGGGAGCACATGTGCTTACAAGAGACAGAGACAAGGGAAAAAGCATCCCCCAGTGAGGCACCATCCTACTGCAACCCCTTCTCCAACTGTGCATCCCACCATGATTTGGGGCACCAAAGTAGGTCATGTGGAATCCAGTGGCTCCCTTAACCACTAAACTACAGTGTTAATCCTATTCTATAAAAATGTTATCCACGGTTTCTTTTGTAAATCAGCTTTTAAATCATATCTACTATAAACAATACTAAATATAAAAATAAACATTACAATTTTTAACACATGAAAAGGAATAAAATAAGAATATAAATTGCTTTCTGACAACTGGATCTACTTTTTTTTGGAGAGGTTTTTGCTATAGGGCGCGTGTGCTCGCCAGAAAGACAGACACAGACAGACAGACAGAAAGCGAGAAATCACCCCACAGAGTGGATGGCCATGCCACAATCCTTTCTCCTCCATTCTCCTCTCGGGATCTTGGGCACACACGCATACGCACCTGGTGTGAGTATAAGCCACCGGGTCTGGGACTCCAACTGCGGTCGACTACATGGGAGTCCCAGCGACATAGCCATGACACCAACTTCTGGTCCCTGGATCTGCTACTTTTAAGCTGTACCAAATGAGAAAGCTGCTTTAACCTCTAATATTGTACTTCCTCACTTGTAACGTACATCTAAATAGCTCAAAGGCTCCAACAATCAATTATCATATAAGCACATTTAAATTGCATCTAGAGGGAACCAGCAGTTAGCGTAATGGCTATGTCGCTGGACTCCCACGTAGTCGACTGCAGTTCGCATCCTGGACCGGGTGGCTTAAAACTCACGCCGGGCGCGTGTGCGTGCGTGCCCAAGATCCCGAGAGGAGAATGGAGAAGGGCTTGCGGCGTGACCATCCCCCCTGGGGGGTGATTTCTCGCTTTCTGTCTCTCTGTCTGTCTGGCAAGCGCATGCGCTCTATAGCGAAAATCTCTCCAATAAATAAATAAATAAATAAGTAAGTAAGTAAGTAAATTGCATCTAGAAGTTAGAGAACTAAGCACATAAAACAAAACTACCTAATTTTGCAGTTAGTACATCATACTTCTTTTAAAGCTGCTAAAAGTTGCTGAAGCCTATATGTCTGCAGTTCTGCAGAAAAGATCACAGTGAGGCAAGACCACTATTTCAAAATAAATATATAAATCTTTTAAAAATGGGATTAAAAATTTTAAAAACCTAAAAACATAATGGGATGGACCTAAGAAGGACTAAATAAATATCAGTAAAGTATAAATAAAACCACTATTATAAGGCATTGGAATGTCTAACAATAAAAATCCTGAGGATACCTGATGGTACAGTAGTAGTGCTCTATAAGGCTGGACCCACATGAGAAGGCCCTAGGTTCACATTCTGGGGTCTGCATTCAGGCATCCACATGATCCTGGCTGGATGAAGCTAGGAGTGGATTGTGCAACAGGCACCCTACTTGGGGATGCCCATCTGCATGTGTGTATTTATTTCTATCTCATGAGTGAAAAAAATTAAGAACAACAATAAGAAACCCAAAAAATTTCTAAGACACAGGACCAACAGATAACATAACGGTGCCCTGTAGCAAGCATCTCTCAAATACATAACAAAATAATTCTATGAATATTTATGCATATGTCTTGGGAAAAAAAATTAAGAGATATTTTTGCTATAGGGCACATGCACTCACTGGAGAGACAGAGAGAGACAAAGAGATAGAAAGCGTAAAATCACCCCCACCAAGGGAGATGGCCATGCCACAGTCCCTTCTCCTCTCAGGATCCTAGGCACATACACACACATTCACATGCACCTGGCATGATTTTTAAGCCGCCGGGACTTGAACCACAGTCGACTACATGGGAGTTCAGTGACATAACCATTATGCCAGTTGATGATCCCAGAAATTTTTTTAAGAAGGATTTTTTTGCTATGGGGTGCGTGCACTCACCAGAGAGACAGAAAAAGGGAGAAGGGGCTGCAGCATGGCCATACCACCAAAGAGTGATTTCTCTCTCTCTCTCTCTCTGTCTCTCCAGTGAGGATGTATGCCCTATATAAAAAATCTCTCAAAATAAATAAAAGAGATATTTATTTCTAAAATGCTGAATTTCAATGCTCTCTAAACTAAAAAAAAAAACACAGTAATGTAAACCAGTGGTGCATACAAATGACTCTCAGGGTAAACAAAATCATACCATACCTATATGAAAATCTATTTTTACCTTGCCTCATCAGCATTAATTGGTGTTCATGTCGGGCTGCTTCCATTTCTGCTTCCAGTTTCTCTTTAGCTTCTCTGATGTTTCTATCAACCTGCTCACGTTGCTGCTTTTCCATTTCATCAAGAGCTTTCCATCGAGATGCATACTCAAATTCAAATGTCCCAGGTTGAGCAAAACGTGG